TAAGAAGTAATCTTTTACTTAATTACAACTTTGATGTTGTTTGCTTGTCTCTGGGTAGTGAACACACAATGAAATATACAGATGATGTATTAGAGAATTGTACACTTGAAACCTATATTATTTTACTAACCAATGTCACTCCAATAAATTTAATTAAAAAAAATTTGGGTGGACCTCAATAAATATTTGATCTCATTTGATATATGGTAGAAAGAGTAGAATAAACAATAATTTGCAGAGCACACTGTTTATCTTAATTTCTTCAACATTATTTACCCAAGACTTTTTCTTGCATTGTTTCAAAATAAATGTGGAATTTACTTCATAGATACAGAGGGTGCCAAAAAATTTATACACATTTTAAGAAAGGAACACTGTGTTAAAATGATAATATTCAATATATACCAATAGCAAAAGATGAATACAAGTTATGTTTGACTTCTGCAATTACAAGAGGTGCTCAAAGTGGTTACCATCAGCGTCCAGACACTTCTGATTATGGTGAACTATGAGCAACATTGACCCAAGTGTTCACTTGTATACATATTTTTTGGCACCCCTGAGATATCTATATCTATATCTATATCTATCATCTATCTATCACCTATCTATTCTATATATTATGTATTACAAATTTAAAAAAATTGGTAAATCGACATAGTTCAAGAATCAAGGTGATAAAGAAGTCCAATGAGAAGTCTCTCTCACATTGTCTCCATACCTCTTCACCCTTAGTTTTTGTGTATCATTCCAGTATATCTTTATGCAAATATTAGCAATGGAAATAGATATCTAAAAACCCCCATTCTTACACAGAAAGGAATGTGGCAGCCATGTTTAGTTTTGCACCTCGCTTTTCTATTCATTTAGTAAATCCTGCAGCTCTTTCTACACTAGAACTTAGAGTTCCTTCATTTTTTTTGTAATGCAAATTTAGTTTGTTAATTTTGCTTTTGTTCTTACCCACAAAGTTACAGATTACCTCCAATGCCATCCTTTACTACATCTCCACTACTATTTCTTATTTCTGTTTAATTCAACAAATGTTTACTGACCTCCCTCACTTCTCTGCCTTTGTCATCTTTTCTTTCACAGAGCTATGCCCAACTTCACATATTCAGTTATAAATAATCCTCCAGAACTGTAGTGATTTAAATAAAGGGATAAAAGAGCATGATGTGGCTTTACCACTTTATAAAAGATAGCACAAGAGAAATTTCCTTCAGGATTGTCTTTAAGAAACTTCAAGAGGCATTCATTCATTTAT